TCAATTATTGTAAAAAAATGAAAATGAATGAAATCTTCTTTTTGATTCCAGAATCTCTTACTTTCTTTCTTTCCAAGAAAAATGGGGTCATAACACGAGTATTAATTTGTTTGACCGCTACATGATCTTGGAGGTCAACCGGACCCCGACTATGTTACCTTATCTGAATATAGGATTTTCCGCTCTTTCCAAATCCGGGGTTAAAAATATCAGCTAAAAATAAGGCTGACCTTCAAATGACCTTAAAAGTGACCTTTAAGATCAAAGACAAGGTCATGGGGATATGTCTCCCTCCGACTCCAGCAACTTTTGTCTGAAACATTTTTTTGCTAAACATTACGTAGAGGGAAAAATTTTGGTCTATTCATTAAAATGGTTCACCTTGTATATATAGCATGCTTTACGTAATTCTTCAGTAATTGATTGAATTACATTAATATAACTAGGATTATCAGCTACTTGTTCGGCTATAATTAATCATAATTAATAAATAATTTTATTTGGATGATCTCAGTAGGCATGGTCCAATGATGTTTCTTTTCTTTTTGCGACTTTGTAGTGAAGTGAAAGTCTACTTCTATCAATAAACTTTCATTTCTCAGTACGAAAGTCGATAAATAAATGAGATTCCAAGTGGATTTTTCATTTTTTACATGCTTATTTCCATATTCTCCATTTGATTCATACCTTTTTTGATAAACATTACTACTTAACAATTTTAATATAATTTCCTTTACCTAAATAACTAATTAGTTTGGTATTGGATTCTTTACGAAGAAAAAACTTCATTAAATACAATCCACAGTCTTGGTGACATCATGCACTATTATTTTATCATTTTTGAAATAAATAAAATTACATAATTATTTTCCTTTAGACGAACGCCAAATATTTTACCTAGGTTACTTTTCTTTTTAAGCTCATGCAATAATAGAATATAATTTCCTGAAATGAAGTCATCGAGCAGCTGTGATTAATACATTTTATCTAAATTTATAGTAGTATTATCAATAGGTTCATGATCATTATTTTCAGCAGATTTATGGAAATAATCATTATTATCATCATTGCCACCAGTAGCAGATTCAAACGTAGTTCTGACAATTGTGTAGTAGTATCCAAATCATTGGTAGTACTATTATAATAGTGAGATCTATTAGAAGTATCTACTTTTGCGACTCTCGTGTCAAATATTTTTTCAAAGGTGATTTTATTCAAAGGTCTATTCATGTTTACCTGTTTTTCTATAGTAGTAGTATTAGATTTGCTAGTAACTGACTCTATAAGCTTCTTCAATGGATTAATAACCGGTTTGAATGGATCATTCAAAGTCTTTTCTAAATCTACTTTTCCATGTTTTAATAAATAATTTTTACATTTGCTTACATTACGAGTCTCAGTTAATTGCTTAAGTACTATTTTTTCTTGTTCTGTTTTCTCGTTAGGAATCAGTTATATTATTAACAGTTGTATTCATACAAGAGAAATAACGCTTATTAAATTCTTTACTATATCTTCTATGATTTATTGGTCTATCTCTGTTGTGGAATTGTTCAGTCTAATCTGCCTTTTTTTTCGCTTTTTGCTGCACAATAGCAACCCGCCACACATCCAAAATCTGAGGAAAAACGCTATAAAAATCAAGACCTTATGAGAAGCGTAACTTCACATCCGTGAGAAATTTATTGTTTACTATGCAAAATCAATAATTGCAAGCTTTCCAAATGATCATTTATTACGTATTAGATAACTTAATTTAATTTGTAAGTAAATATCACTAGTAATTTTACAATAAATAAATATAATACGAATTTTAATATAAAACAGCGATACTAGTACCTTAAGAAAGAGAAGTAAAAATTTAATATTTTGATAACGATCGTTTTTAACAGCGTTCTCAATAAATACAAGATTTATAATTTATTTAAACATTTCAAGTTACGCTGTGACATAGCGATCCAACTGTACGTACATTTAAAATTAGTGAAAATGATTGTTATAGAAGATAGTCTAAGAGCACAACTCATAAGATCTTGTATCTTATGAGAAAAAAGCAGCCTTAGACTATCTCCTTTCCTAATCATATTAATACTATATTAATACTTCCTAATCATATTAATAATAGATATTCGACTGAGTATTTGTTGCGGCACTGTCTGGTCTTTTCGTGATAAATGCAACGATGCTTCGCCGCATTTTAAATGGCACGTCGAAGTAGCTAACTGTGTAGATTGATTCTGTGTTTGCTACTCGATGATTGACTTTAATAACGATTTTTGAAATACACAGAGAACTATTATTTCGATCATTTCGAGTATCTAGTACTATATATCAATTTCTTGCTTGTTCTCGGAAACACGATTTGCAAATATATCTTAGAGTCCGAACTTAATTAACATTAATTTTTAGTTGATAGCTAAAAATCCATGATTATTATCTCTCCAGCATTTTATGATTATCAATTCTTCAGATAAGATGTTTGGAAATATAGCATACGATTGATATAGGTAATATCTATATTGTTATGTATTCCCATACAGAAAAATGCTCTTACATTACCTTATTTCTCAGTAGCAATATCATCGAAAATTATGATGGAATTTGGTACTACTTTATCTGGTGAGACAACTGACATTCATGTTTACTAAATATGTAATAGTGTACTCCATCTATCGGCTCCAATAAATCGCTTAGAAACTGATACTTGGGTGGGTTAAGTGACTTTGAGTAGACATATACATTTTCAAATCTAAGACCATTTTAATGAACAATAGTTACTGAATCTACAGAAAACTGCTTGTATACTATCAAATACTAATTCACCATTCTTCTTTCGTCGCATTCCTTCTTCACTATCTTATCGAAATTTATAAGTTGGAGTTTGAGAGGCTAACCTTTAAAATCCATGTTGCCTTTAATCTTTATAGATTTAAAGATGAATGAACTCACGGACTATAAAAGGCTGTTCATATATTTATCTTTCTATTTATACATCATCTTTCGAAGAGGTATGATTATTTATTATAATAGTTGACATATTCTGGTATTAGATAGTAAACTATTTTTGGTCATTACACCGTTACTAATTCTCTTCTAGATTTATGTTTTGATAAAGAACAGTTCCGAGGATCTATAAGATTGAAAACATCGGAATATTATTTTTGGAAAAAGCCTTTTCGCACTAAGAAACCTCAAAATATTATATATTATTATATCATATAGCAAAATATAATATAATATACTAAAATATAATAAAATATACTACGATAGTATACATTAAGTTAAAATATATATCTATAAAGGTTTGTAGCATAATTTTTGAATCTACAAAGTCATCTAAAGCGATTCTACAAACACACATACATACAGGCGCGCGCGCACACACATGCACGCATGCATGCACTCATGAACGTATATACGAGGTGTGATCAAAAAGTAAGGTGAATTTTTATTTTTCTCCAAAAATATTTATTTATTCATCAATTTTTATTTTATCTCCTTCAAAGTAATCCCCCTCGGATATAATGCACTTGTGCCAACGCTTTTTCCAATCCTCAAAGCATTTCAAAAAATCATTTTTTGTGATCTTGTTTAGTTCATCCTTCGATGCCGTCTTTATCTCCTCAATCGTGGCAAAACGCCGTCCTTTCATGGGCCTCTTCAGTTTTGGGAATAAGAAGAAGTCACAGGGGGCCAGATCTGGGGAATACGGTGCCTGTGGCATCGTTACTGTGTTGATTTTAGCCAAAAATTCGCGCACAAGCAACGATGTGTGAGCAGGGGCGTTATCATGGTGCAAAAGCCAATTTTTATTTTTCCACAAATTTTCCACAAACGTTTCTGGCGGATTGCTTCGCGCAAATTGCGAATAACTTGCAGGTAATATTCCTTATTTATTGTTCTACCCTGTGGAAAGAACTCATGATGCACCACGCCTCTGCAGTCAAAGAAAACTGTAAGCAAAACCTTTTTGATCGAACATTTGATCGAACTTGGCGTGCTTTTTTTTATTTTGGTGATCCAGAATGCCTCCACTGGGACGATTGAGTCTTAGTCTCGACGTCATAACCGTATACCCATGTTTCGTCACCTGTTATAACCCTGTTGAGTAAATCTGGATCATCGTTTGTTTTGGTCGAAATTGAGCAATTTCGGAACAAACTTCGCTGACACACGTCTCATGTCTAAAACACTCGTCAAAATTGATTGGCACGAACCAAATGAGATGCCAATATCATCAGCAATTTCTCTAATGGTAATTCGATGATTTCCCAACACTATTTTCTTCACTTCTTCAACATTCTCATCAGTTGTTGATGTACTGGGACGTCCAGAACGAGGTTCGTCGTCGGTGTCTTCTCGACCTTCTTGGAAGAGTTTATACCACTTGTAAACATTTTTTTGGCTTAAAGTAGACTCACCGTATGCCACTTTCAGCATTTCAAGTGTTTTGGAACATTTGATTCCATTTTTCACACAAAATTTAATGCAAACTCTTTGATCCATGTTTTTAGACAGCAGCAAATCGTGGAGCACGCAAAACACTTCTAACCTTGATGCCTTTCACAAACAAACCAAACATACTACAAAGCTGAAATTTGGAACGTATGTTCTAGACGAGTGTACGGACATAACCAAATAAAAAAGTCGAAGATCGAACGGACGTAGCCCGCTAAATTTCAAAATTCACCTTACTTTCTGATCACATCTCGTATACTCGTATAATTATATTTTAGGTCTGGAAATCGGCTTATTATTGCTTATATCTGATCCAACGTAACTCCCCAAGTTAACATTTTTTTATCATGTAACATCTCACTTTCTTCGTCTATTCCTCTTTTAAGAGGAAAATTATCCAGGAATAAAAAACGTCTCCTACCATGTCCTATGTAGGGTTAAATCAGTATAATTAGAGACAATTCTCCGACCATTTTTTAAAGCTTCTAACTTCCGCAATTTTAAATCTATTTGAATAATAGCATGTACGATTTAAAGGATACATTTCTTGAAAAAAATCCAAATGAGGAGGTTGTAATATATCTAGTGCTGACAAAACCTAAAATAAAAAGCCATAAATTAAATATAAAAAGTGCTAGTAATAATAATTGAAATAAAAATTTTATATGCATGAATCTAAATACGGCAGTTGATAGCTCGTAAATATTTCTAGAAAATTAGGTTATGTAAAAGTAATATATAAACAAAATTTAGTGTTACAATAGCTATTTAAAATAAATAGAAATACTGTATAATTTTAAAGATTTGTTGTAATATGTTAAAAAGTATTTAAACAATGCACCATTGCTAAAATGTATTTTCGAAATTGTATTAACACAGATATTTAAAAGGGTGACGATTGGTTATTAACTTTACTTACACCATCAGGCTATTTATTTCGTACACTGTATGAAATAGATATTGTGAATAAATATACTAAAAAGATAGATATTGTGAAAAAAGCAAAAATATATATGCACATAGTTATAAAAATAGAAGCGGTGATAGATTCTGCGGATAGAACCAAAGCAGGAGTAATTATAAAAAACATAGCGAGAACAAGAATGATAATAAAATCAATATAGTGGTTAGAACAGTCATCACCAACGTGATTAAAACAATGATAGAGATAAAAAATTGGTAGATACAAAAATACTGATTAATGAGACAGTTGTGATGGATCAAGTAATAGATGTCGATAGCGTCAGTATACGAGTACATAATGATGGCAATTCACGGTATCACCTCAACAAAAGCGTCGGTAACAAGGGAACAGGCCTCGATACTTTGAACTTCCATAAAGCTCAATGCCTAATCACGACATGTAGTCGTTAACTCCTTCAGATACACCGAATAATATCGTATTAGCATATTATATATTAACTTGATATCTGTGAGTTAGATATCAAATGCTATATTTGTAGTTGTAGGTTTAAAATGCTATAACTTATGAAAGGAATTAGCAATATTTTACGTCGACACCAAAACCAAAATTTTCACAATCAAAATAAGACGAAATATACTCAATACGTATATATATAGCTTATAATATGTAGTTAATATTTTGGTCATTACATATGGAGAAAATTACACTTTGAGCCAATCCAAGTACATAAAGTATTTAATTTTTATGGATTGTAATCTGTATTGCATATAATTGTTTGATAATTATCTCAGTTTATCCGGAACCTCGCTCATCTCTTAACCTTCAATTACTTTCCTGTATAATACTACTCAAATTTTGTCTCCATTCCTTGGATGTACAATTAGGTTTAAAGGATTCTCTCTTTATTTCTCTCTCTCTCTCTCTCTCTCTCTCTCTCTTTCTCTCTCTCTCTCTCTCTCTCTCTCTCTCTCTTTCTCTCTCTCTCTCTCTCTCTTTCTGGCAACTCTGGCAACAGCCGCGAACAGCAAATTAGCTATACGTGCCTGTGAGAGAAGACGTTCGGTCCGTCTCGTTCCTCAACGCTTCGCTTGAAGTGCTTAGACTGCTCTCTTTATAAATATAATAAATAGTTTGGAGCTAACATAAGCGTCATTGAACAGGTAAGTGACGAGCCCTACGATATAGAATCGATTGCAACTCGCGATGCGGACCTCGCGAAGAAGTGATTATCGCGAAGAAGGGGGAGATAGAACATACGTTGGTAGAGAGTTGAGCAGAAAAAAACGAATGGCCTAGACGGCCGGTGAGAACTAACATGACTTCTAACATCGAGAAACAACGATTCAGGTGTTGAATTAGCAAATCAACGCGTGAAGCGATAACGCACCTTCGCCATTGAGAAAAGCGAATACGCTGAGAAGCCGGCGTTCGACGCTTTTGTTGTAAGTACAGGCTCACAGCCTGGCTCATCTCTCTCTCGGCTTTTGCCTTTATACACGCTCTATTCATTTCATGCGACAAAACGATTGCACCATTCATAATTTGACGCACAGTATCCTGCTGTATCCTAACTATCCGTCGTAGCGTTCTCTTTATTGAACAATCGTAGACCCGTAAGTTATTGTTGTTGTTCGCTGTCACTCACGCTACCATGACATAAACGCTTGCATCGCAGCCGCCCAGCGTAATACGTGTCCGATACATTCTTTTTCTTCTTAACCAGCCGTTTTGTTGTTAACATCGAATATATATTTGTTTCGTTTAATTGATTGGCATCTAATTTCTTTATCCGTCTTCCTGTTGCGTACGCCTATTACTAACCGCTCGCAAGTCTCCTTTTTTTTTGTTTTGGTTTGAGTAGCATTAACTCACTTGCAGGTTACGATACTCTCAGCAGGGCGAGTATTTCAACCAAAGGATGAGACATGCTGATTATTGAACCCACGCACCGTGCTTACAAGCGCACAGGGCCGCCTTGTGGAGCGAAATTTATATTATCAATTAGCGAGTAATTAATTAATTTTTTATTTCGACTTTACTCGAAAGGTCTCAAGATAAAACCCTATTACAACGTATGTATTACAGAGACCCGAAAAAAGTATCATGCATGGTAAATCAATATTCCTGAAATTTATATTTTTGAAGTCGATGAATCTGAATCCGAAGTTCGTTTGACCCAACCAGCGCTGGGTGAAGGTTAAGTCAAGGTCAAATTCAAAAAATCCATTTCCAGTAAAGTATACATATATGTTTACATATTTTTGGGTCCTCTGCATCCACAAATTCGCAAAGAATCATCTTAGTGAATTTCATTTAAGTTTCTTTTCTTTTTGAACAATCTTTCTATTCAGATACCAGTAAAAATCATTCAACATGTTTACATCCTATCTGCCTTGGTATCGTCTTTCCATTTCTTGTATATCTTGGCTTTTATTGTCTATTTTATTCTTCGTTGAAATCAAGTAGATTAGCTGGAAAGTAATCTAAATATGAATGAAGAAATTGTAACTTCAGATCCATTAAAGACCCTAACTTTTTGTAGCTTATAACCAATTTTTTTACTATAACATTGTAATTTTGGTTTTTATTCTTGTCTAAAAAGTTTGCAACAATTTCTTGGAAACTACCTCAAGCAGATTGTTGTAGTGCAAAGTTACTATCCTTTAGCAAAGAGCGCATTTGAAGTCCATCAAAAAACCCTTCTTTTAATTTAGCATCTGATATTTTTGAATTATATAATATATATATATATTGTAAACATATTCCGTCTTTGACTAATGCTTTTATAAAATTGTGACGGGGGCAAGCAGTTTGCTTGCCCTTTATCTGCTGTCTCTCAATTTCCCCTGCTTTCGACAAGACATAGTGCCAGCGTTGAGCGCATAGTAAAAATGCGCGAAAATACTTGCCTTTATTTCAGCCACCGATTATTGCCGGATGAGATTGAGAAAGCCCGAATAATTCATCCGCCGGCTACTTAACTTGTTGTTCGAGCAGCAGCTCATGTCAAAGTATAGCTTGCCAAGGCGGCATCCATTTTCTCTCCTTCGATCGTTGAGAACGATAGCGCCTCTCTTATCCCCCTTATTAAAGAATTGGTGGAAAAGCGAGTAGGTGATGCGACAACTTTGTTATAAACTACTTCATTAACCCAAGTTCAATGTGAAAAAGCAGAAGGAGAATTTTTTTAAGTTGTACTAATGGTTCGCGCCAAATTTTTTCTGACAAAGATGAAATATGTTTCCAATATACACTGCCGTCCATATTTATTTGCCCACTCAGAGAAAAAATGACATAAAATTGAAAGTTTTCTTATTACGGAAGTATTTATCCTATAGAAGACTCCGGGAGCTTATTTTGTAGGTTGTGGTGGGTACCTTCAGGCACATTTCGTTTGGAATCGATTAATATTTTTTTTCATGTTTTATCAATACATAAAGGTAAGTAAAAAATCCAAAATTTTTTGCCCACATTTAAGTCCAAACATTTTTATGAGAAATATTTTCATGATAAATGTAAAAGAAGAATTTGGAAGCTTGTTTTAAGAGCTTTCAAATGCAAGGTAGCAGGATGATTTTTTATAATTAGCCTAAAAGTTACAGACGTTTGAAAGAAAAACAACACTTTTTTTCAAGAATTATTATTTTTGTACCATCGACTCATACTGAAGAATTTTACTTGGAAAAAGGGGTGATTTGTAGCGTAGACTCAACCTACATTTTCTCTGATTTATTTCGGAAAATTTTGTTCCTATATATAGGAGTCAATTATTGTTCGACTGTGGTATTTCATGAATGAAAAAATCATTATTTTTATTTTCTACGGTTTTTCAGTTCTCTGAAATCAATCTAGAAATTTTCATAAATACAGCAAAAAGCTATCACAAAAGATTTTTATCATCTCTAAATTATAAAGTATAAGTAAAATAAAGTCATATCCAATGAATCAACAACGTGGAATTCCTTCGGAATCATCATAATAAGATAGACCCTAAGAATTGGTAACTTCACTTCAAGTCTAATTCAGCTTTGTTTATAAACATAAGATGATACCGCAATACTCTAGATAAACTCAGTTAATAAACTGCCAGTTCATTTATACAATCTTTAGTTGCCAGCATGGGAAAAACTGAATTTAACAATAGAGAGCAGTAGTGAAATCGTGGCTTTTCACAAAATCGGTAAGAGCAATAGGGATATAGCTAAAACGCTCAAGTTAGCACGGTGTACTGTTGATTATAACGTAAAAAGTTTTTAAAATTTGACACAGTGAAAATAAGAAAAAATACAGGTAGACCGAGGATTTAAGACAAATAAGGGATCATGTATTGAAAAGAAACTTTTCATACTCGTGAAAATTCAATTTTGAAAACACGCCGTACAAAGTGCCGTGAAATGCAGAAAAAATTATTTTCTCTCCAAATAAAAAATTATATATCTATATATAATTTTTTACCTATGATTTTTTTATTGGATTTATTTTATATCATATCAAGTAATTTTGATGGACTATGAAATGAATATACATTTAAGAAATAACATCATAAAAATGCAGTCTCTTGTCCATAACCAGCTTTCTTCACCAAGATATACAAATATTTTTAAATACGCTTGGTATAAAAGCGGCTACATTGCTGAAAAACCAGCTAAAACAGATAACCCTGTTGATTTTAG